TGGTCTAACTCCTGAGTTTTAGCTGCTTACACTAAATATAAAAGTAAACTAACATATTAAGAAATAAATTACCTTAAAAGCTCCCCTTCAAACAGGGAGGTAGTGAACTGACCTGCGACTGCTTGCAAACTGCCCTGTTTCCTATCCCTGTTCACTCACTCCCTGGTCTTGAGGGCAGTCTCCTTTTATACCCTGCTGGGCCTGGCTCTGCCCCCTTGGTAGGGCTGTTGTCAGACACAGGCAGCAGCTAGCAGCACTCCCAGTTGCTCAGAGCATACCCCAAGCAAACAGCCCACCAAACAAACACTTGGCAAGCCCAACACACAGGCCGCCCTGGCTCACTTACCTTCCTGGGGCTGGATCTGGTTCCTGGTGCTTGGCTCCACTTCTTTTTCCCCTTCATCCTCTTGCTCCCAGTGAACTGCTTTCAGACTGCCATTTTTGCTGTTCACTTGCTCCCTAGTCACTCAGGGAGTCTTTGTTTTTAAAACAAATTGCTGTCAGTTCCTCAAATCTGCTTACAAAAAATAAATGTAACAAAATCAACAGAATCAAAATCAATGTCAGCAATTAACATGTATTTGTCCTTCGGAAGGAGGTTCCACACTTGGTGCAGAACTCTTTGGTATAGATAAGTTAATATCTATTTTATTTATAAACTGTAAGGAATTTTTGTTACTAGCTGCATAAAATACATTAAGTGTACCTCAGGCTGAAGGAAGCACCCACATTAACATGATAACATTTTTCTTTCTGCACAGTTTTTTTCTATTTTCAATAACTGCTTCTCTTTTCCCAGAATTGTTCTTCCTTCCCCAAATTATAATTACACTGACTTTCTTGTGCCTGCATTTCATTGTCAAACAAAACACCATTGACACCATATGAGGTTGGATTGAAAGCTGATATAAGGCGCTTTAAAAAGGAGAGTTAAGTAATATGTTGAGATTAGCAACTTTCCCATGCTAAACTTCAAACTAACAAATATACAAACAAAACAAAGGAAGGGCTGAGAAAAGAAACTACTGGCATTTACTTAAGACATGTTTTATGGAGAATATGGGTGCATGTACACATGATGGTGGAGCCATGTACATGTGACAAAAAGTGACAAGAAATCATCATTTGTCTCGTGTAATGGCATGACTATATACACACGCACGATTTTTTTCATGTAAAAATGTATTTGAGCATGGCAGCTTAGACCACCTCCAATGTATTTTGGTTTGAACAGAACAAATTGTACTTTTCTGGATAAAAAAAACAAACTGCACACATACATCATGTCTGGCATACAACATGTCTGGCCTTCCAGCACCCTGTGCACCAGCCCCCTTCTCTGGCTGCCAGCATACCCAGCCACCCTCCTGCCACCTTCCCACACTACCCTGGGGGCAAGCCAGCCTATTCCTGGGTGGTCAGAGAAGGTGGCAGGGACAGTGCACAGGGCACTAGAAGCCCACTAAGGATGAGCTTCCCAAGCATGCCCTGGCTTCCAGCACCCCATGCACTGTTATATGGGGCTGAGTGCTGCCTGCCTGTGAGCTGAGGCAGCACCTGCCCAGCTAGCACCCTGCCTGGGCAGCCCCAGGGGTGCTACCACCACAGAGGGAAGCACTGCCCCCTGCCCCACCCCTGCAGCTCAGGGGCTGTTCAGGCAGGCTCCACCAAGGGGAGGGGGGGAGAAACAGTGGCAAGGGGCCCACTTTTCTTTTTCTGGTGGAGCCTGCCTGGCTCTCTGGTGCCTGAGGCACAATTTGCTGGCATGCCCTGAGCTGTGGGAACATTCCTTCCCAATCTATAAATTGATTAGTATAATGCTTACAGCGGACCCAAATCCTGATCATATGCGTCAGGATCAGAGCTGCTAATTTGGATACAAGAGAGTGCCCCAGTTGAAGGAACAGGATTTATGGATCCTCCCACAGGTGCACAAGGGAAAATGGTTCCCCTGAACCTCCAATAACCAGTTAATTGGGTTAGGAAATGACTCTTCTGTCCCCTGCCTCCATTCCCCATGCCAATTCTTGGCACTTTAGTGGGGAGCATCCCTAAAGGAATTACTTCCTTTTTTCCCCCATCATCCAGATAACCTCCCCCGCCATCCCTGCCCCCAAGAGAAAAGGTTATGGTATAATGATAGTAATCAGTGTATGTATGTGGTGGTACTGGATTCTCAGGGTTTCTAGTATCCTCCTTGCACCTGTAAAAATTATTATTTTGGCTTAGGAGTTTTTGGTTTTTGTGTAAAGGGGCACTGGCCTAACTTAATTATAAAAGCCACACCATAAATCTTGACATTCAAAAGTCTAAGTACTTTTACAGTGTGATGGTTTACTGGTTTTTGTTAGTTAATATTTTAAACTCTCAGGAAAAATATATTATTAGTATCTTATGGGCATTAACTATCTTCTTGTGGGGAAATAAATGAGAATTCATCAGCTGTCAACATTTGAAATTGATAAAAAACATTAATAGAAAAACACAGCATATACAAGTAAGTGGGAGAAAGAACAGATAAAGGTGGTTTAATTTTATAGTGTAGAAGAATTATGGTATTTACTACTTCTTTCCACTGGTTTGGGATGACAACATTGTGGCTATCGATCCATGGCCTCTGAGATGCCTTTAGTTCAAGGTGCAGTGGAATCTAAGCCATAGTACCAATAATGGTGCCTCCTGTTGTGCCACACAATGTTGGCAATGGGGATTTGATCCCTATCATGCCTTATTTTGCCAGTGCAGGTGGAATCTGGGATCATGGTGCTGGGCTCCCTCTGTACCTGCAGGTTGAAACCCAAGTACAGACAACCAGCTGATTGCCAGTTGGGACTGAGGACCTAACCAGGTTCTGATACTGGACCCAGTCAGGTCCCTGGCCCCAGACAATAGTCAGCTGATTGTCAAAACCCTAGCTCAGGTTTTTAAAGGTCCCAGCACCCAGGCACCCTAGGATTGGGCTGCCAGGACAGCTGGATTCTGTCCCTGCTGGATTCTGACACTCAGTCGAAGGTGGTATGTACAATTTAAGGTGTGATACAAATGAGCCACAAAGGTTGTTATTTGTGGAATATATATGGAATAGTTTTGTGACTCATTTCCTGCATTATCGCATCTTAAATTGACTTCAATGTGTAGCCAGGTTACTATTTAAGACAGTTAATCATGCCCTAAATAAAACGACAGGGGTCCATGTGGCAGCCTTGCCTTATTTTCCTTTACACCAAAGCTGGGTTGCTTGCTTTGCTTATTCTTATGAGAGCAATAAAACAATAGAGCGATATGAAGTTTCTTCCAAAGCTGACTAATGTATGTAGACACAAACTAGGTAAATGACAGAGGACATGGGATGGGCTGAAGTAACAGATAGTCTCAGTGAAAGAATGTGATAGAAACTTCAAACTTTATATCCAAAATGTTAGCTTATAGTGAATCCTGGAGGTAGGGTCAGATTTTTTGTTGGTTCCAGGCCCAATCTTTAGATTCCTTGGGTTTGTTTGAGGAAGTTTCCTGATACATCCAGACTATAAAGTTCAAAGGCAAAACCAATTCTGCTGGTTGAAGAAAGCTCTTAGTTCTTTCTTAAGTGTTCAAAAAGAACATGATCAGCTCTCCTCATCTCATTAAAATGCAGGCTTAACCTAGCTTCTGATATGAATTTCTTACTATTTGGAGACAGTAAATCCTTGCTTTTCTAGTTTGTAACCTCATAACCCCTCACCCTCAGATCTCTAAAAGCTCACAGAACTCCATGGTGCCAGGTTATGCACTCTATTGTGTCCATCATCCTGCATCCCTTTGCTTTCATGAACAGAAGTAAATCCAACTTTATTGCCCTTTTGCACCCTTTCCTGGTGGTTTAAAAATAATACCCTTGATCCATGGCCATGCTCCTTTGACATCAGTAGAGGTTGGAGCAGCAGTTCGCACTTACATCAATAGGAGCTGTGTGCATAGCTCAAGAGCAGGATATTGTCCTCATTTTGTGGGATGTGAGAAGCATTGAGGCTCCCCTGTCAAATGTGAAGTTCAGACCATGCAGATTTTCTTAATTTTTATTCATGCAAAACTCCGTTTATAATCAATGCAAATAATTCTTTAGGTTCCCTTTAAAGATTTACATGTAAGAGTAACATTACATATGTAACTGCTTCAATGAGAGTAAGCAGGTAGGTAAAGTGTTTGCAGGATCAGGACCTTAGTAAAGATTTTTAAAAATATGGACACTGAGGGCACCTCAACACATGCAGGTAAAGGCATAATGTGCAATCCACACAGTCATGCCTCCTGTCATGCCACATGTGCATGGCAGAAGGAGTGATTGTAGGATTGCACATTCGATCCTGTGGTACCTTATTACCAGTGCATTGGGAGCCACTGTTGGGAACCCACTCAGCTGATGGGGCTCCAAGCCACTGGGTGTTCCATACATAACCACAGCTGGAAGACTGCAGCAGTTGCTATCTCCCAGGCATGAGAAAGCTCCGCAAATCTCCAGGGCTGGAAGATCATAGCTGTACCCACAGCCCTGGCACAGCTTCCTAGCAGTGTTGGGGTTGATAGTTCCCTCAGCTGCAGGGCTTCTAGCCCTAGCTACACATGGTGCCCCCGTGAAGCTGGGAACCTGGTCAGCTGATGGGGCTCCCAGCTGCAGGGGCAGACCTTGCTATATGTATAAATTAAAGCTAAATAGCAACCAGCTATAAAGTTATTACATATTTTCAAGTAATAACATTATAGTTAGTTGAACCTTTTTATGGTGTGGTTGTTAATCTGCAGGTCTAGCCACTCTAAACCAGTTGCATAATTAATCTGGCAATTGCATGGCACAGGTAATGTGCAGAGTGGACCTCTGCAATGTAACTTTTTGGTTTGTTTCATTTTCATTCTGTGTCCAGTCGGGGAATAAAGAAAATATACTTGTTGCTGTGATTGGCATTACAGTCCCATTGTCAGAGGAACTGCTGTATGTAATTCTGTTTCTTCTCTTTGTCAAGCAGATATTATTTTAAATTTCCGAACATCGTATGTCAGCAAGTCTGGCCAAGTTATATTTGAAGCAAGATCTATTTGTATCCACTATGTAACTACCTGGTTCATCATTGATTTAATAGCTGCACTTCCTTTTGATCTCCTTTATGCGTTTAATGTCTCAGTGGTGAGTACTACATTTCTTTATTTTTAACATTACTTATCTCAAGTTGGTCACTTTTGTGAATGAACTTTTTTTTTCTATTAAAAAAACCAAAAAACTTATATGTGTTTGTTTTCTATTGACAAGGATTTATTTTCTGTTACAGTTGTAGTTAGCATTCTGTTCTTTTTTCAACAGTGTGAAATGTTTTGACCTGAGACACTAAAGGGTGAAATACAGATTAGTGGCATAGCTAGAGGTTGTGATAGGGGCAAGTGCTTCAGGTGTCAACTTGGTTGAAGGGAGGAGTTCGTAATTGTGGTCGCAACCAGAAGTTGCCACTTTTACTTTGCTGTGGGCACTGGGCCACATCCCTACACTGCTGATATGAACTGCATTTGTTGAACTTAATGAACTCCTGCAGCCACATGACATCTTTCACTGACATGGAATCCACAGTCCATGCAAAATTCATCTCCCAGTTTCACAGGTGTATTTAGAGTGTTTCCTTTGACCTGAAGAACATCAGTATAAGTGAGCACAAAATCTGGCTCTCCTTTTCTACCTGTTATGTTGGACTCTTGATAAGTTGATAAGTATTTTTTTAGTTAACAAAGCTAAAGTTTTAAGAAGTTAAAGCTTTAATTCAGCATTATAAGATTTTAAGGATTGTTGCTACAAAACCCAGCCAAACAGGTCTGTTGGGGCAGTGGAAGCTATTCTCAATTTGAAGGAAGAATTATGCCCTTTCTCACGATTACAGAAGATGTAGTGGGCATCCTGGCACACATTTTCAAAAATAGCCTCTAATTTTGGGATGTTTCATCTTTGGCAATCAGCTTGAGAGAGCATTGGGGTGAAATTCAGAGCTGCTGATTGCTCAAAATTATCATTGACTTGAGTTGTAGTTACTTGGAACCTCTGAAAAACAGCTACCAATGACTGAGGTGCCTAAAATTTATAAACCACCTTGAAAAATGCATAAGAAGTTCACAGTGAATGCCACCATCATGTTGGTTCAAAACATTATTAGTTTTCATCATGCTGAGAATCAGCTTACTTCACCAGTAGTCCTACTGACTTAAGTAGGGCTGTAGTGGGATTAGATGCTAATAATTCAGTGTGAGGGGGTTAAGACCAGACAGAGAACTATTAAGCAAAACCAGAGAGTCTTCTGACAACATAAGTGTGCACTGGATTGTTTCCTGAGTGAATAAATGTTAGGAAGTCAAAGAAGAATTTGAAAAGCATTATTAAAGGTGTTAGGTGAAGTTAAATGAGGGATGTGCTTTCTGCTTATTCCCCTC